AACTAGCCAATTTTGTGTGTGTTTAACACACCACCCCTACCTGGCGCGCCAATTTGTTTCTGGTGAAAATTTGGTCAATTCCGATTTCTTAGATACTTAGGTTCTAATCAACTTTCAACCACGTAGATTCTTTTTATTTAGGCTAGCAAACAGTTTTCAATCAAAACATGTATGAAAATCGAAAACGTCATAGTATCGAGCCGAATGAAAGATAAAACATGCACGTATATTAAAAACACGGAAAGTGTGATAAAGCATGCATATCGAAATCGAAAGTACTATTTTTGGTATTTTTTATTAAGAAACTTGAAGTAAAGAAAGCAGTAAAAAGGTATCGAGACGAAAAACAATGCAGAATATTAAATTGTAGAGAAATGAAAATGCGAAACCTTAAAATTGCATTAAGTGTAAATGGCAATGAATTGAAATTGCAAAAATGTAAATAGCAGGAAATCGAAATTGCAGAAGTGTAAATAGCAAAAAATCGAAATTGCAGAAATGTAAATAGCAGGAAATCGAAATTGCAGAAGTATAAATGGCGAGAAACTTAAACGCAGAATCTTAACTTGCATAAAGGTAAATGACAAGGAATTGAAATGACAGAATCTTAAAGTTGATAAATTTAAATGACTAATCGAACGTAAATTACATGAAAGTAAATTACCAGGGAAAGTAAAGAAAGCGATAAAGACAATCAATGAAAATGGAAATCCAGAGCTCCAGAAATTTCATGATGCGTCGTTCTCCTGTAGACTTTTCACTTGTGTTTTCTGTTGTCTCTGCCAATTTCCCGTTTTTCTTCAAACTTCGCTCTATTTATAGAGTATCCTTCAGGTAACCTCCTAAGAGCAGTTAAAAAACTGCTACCACGTTTCATGTGCACGTCCCTCGATTTTTACCTTAGCCTATGGTTTAGAAAATCGCTTCCTCGTTCCATGTGCGCTTTAACCGTTCCTTAATTTCTAACTTAGCCACGATTTGGAAAGCCGCTTCCCATGTTTCATGTGCATGATAACCGTTCCCCTCGATCTCGATTCCAGATATCAAGTACTTTGAATTGTTTCTGATTTCCCTTAACCTTAACTTTACACTCAATCATGTTCATCGAATTTCCTCTATCTTCTTTCGATTCCGATTAAGTTTCTCGATTTTCTCTAACACAGCTATCGAATTTCTCCTTTCGATTCTCGATTTAGATTCTCAATTTTCTTCAGCAATAGCCATCGAATCTTCTTCTTTCGATTCTCGATTCCAATTCTCGATTGTCTTCAATAATAACCATTGAATCTTCTTCTTTTGATTCTCGATTCCAATTCTCGATTTTGATTCTCGATCAATGTTTTTATACTAATACATGGTCATCGAATGTCTTCCAACCATCTTTTCGATTTATCAATTTTTTAACTAACATACGATCCTCGATTTCCTTCCATCCGCTTTTCGATCCATATATCGATTTTTCCCACCAACAGTAACATGATTAGGTGGTTATAGTAAAAGTAAAGCTTGAGTGTTCTCCTTCCACATCCATTTTTGTTAGTTTTTCTTATTTTTATTAAAATCAGACCGGAGTAATCGGTTCAATTGGAAACTCGTGTGATAGCTAGTTTGAATTTTTTTTTAAAATCGGATAAATAATAAATCAGATAAAAATGGGATAAACTGGTAAAATAAGATAAGTCAAGGGCTTACCTAATTTTTTTTGTTTTTTTAATTAAAGAAATTATTTTGTCTTATATTTTTTTTCTTTAGTTTAACCTAGAGACATGTAAACGTGAAGAGAAAAAGTTATTTTTTTATTGACAGTGGTATTCCTCTTTTATTATGGTCTTCGTTCTTATAACGGTTATTGTCATCGTCACTTATTACATTTGATTGTCTCCTTTCGATTTTGTCTTTATTATCATCGTTGTTTATTATTATCATCATTTCAATCATTTATAGAAATACAATAATATAAAAGAATTATAATCTCTTAATTTCGAAAACTAATTTAATAAGTGGACACTGACTTATCCTTATATTCCATAATCATACTTTGAAATAAAATAAAATGTGTAAAATTTGAAGTTAGATGAAATGAAAGATATGGTGTAATTTTTCTCCTTAATTACTTTCAAGCTAGATGTAATTTTTTTTTAAATTATTTTCAAATTTGTTTTAGTTTTTTTTAATTATTTTCAAGTTAAGTATAATGACAATTTTTTTAATTATTTTGTACATTAAATGTTTAATTATATGTCTATTTATATTATTTTTATTTATATATTTTACAAATTATTTTTATTATTATATTATTTTTTTAAAATAATATATATTATATTATTTTTAAATAGTATTTATATAAAAATAAAATTATTATTATAATATAATAAACTTATATTAAATTTAATATATTATTTTATTAAATTCAATTCAATCCAATTTAATTTTGTGATTGAAACTTTCAACCTTAAAGTTACACATTCATCCGTTTAATCACCGTCCGGTCTTAAGAAACATGGTTTTTTCTCATACAATATTTATTTTTTCTTGACCCTCTTGCGAATTCCAGTGCCTTATTAGCATTCCATACTTTCTTTTTGGTCAAGATATGATGAAATATTACACAAGGTGACAAAACCTGCTTACATTGACTTTGTGCCGTGTCTGAAATTATTTATAGAGAAAACTAGATAGTAGGCAGTTGATGCTGCTCAGTCATGCCTCCTCTAGCCTTCGGTCATCACATTTTATTTGCTGAAATCGCGATTTTATCCAACTTTATTCTATTTTTCGCACGATAAAAGTCTCCAAATGGTCATTCATTCTGGGTTGATTTAGCAAACGAGTCACTAATCAGCACTCCCAGCAATTGGGGGTTTTTTTCTTTACTCAACTTTCAAGTCTACGAGTATAGTCAATAAAACTGTCCAAAAGGTGTCACTTTTTTATTATTTCTTACATGATGAACTCTTTTTTTTTTAATTGATGGTTCACATTTTTTCACCCATGTCGAGCGTAGACTTGTTGTTTTTAGTTTAATAAATATTTATATATTTTAAAGGTAATGTTTGTTTGAGTAGTCTACTTCAACTAAACGTTTAAAAGAAGTATCATTTCGCTTTCGAAACAACATAAACCTACTTGTACAACATTTGATCGGGGATGAAGATTAAAACTTATACTCCTAAATTATTGTTAAGGTTCCAACATAAAACCAATTGGTAATATGTGGATTAACCTAACATGTATTTAAACCATATCAAATGACATGAGGTAGGCGATGTGGGACTTTCAACACATCCCCTCCAACGAAGTCTGTCGGACCAGGCAAAAGGTACTTTTGACCCAACTAAAGGGTAACTTTTGGCTCATGACAATAACTGAAAAGATGTTAGGTTTTGGCTTCGATACCATGTTAAGGTTCTAACATAAAACCAATTGGCAATATGTGGATTAACTTAAAATGTATTTAAACCATACCAAATGACATGAGGTAGACGAAGACGAGGTGGGACTTTCAACAATTATGAACCATTTTGACTTTTATTTCCTTATTTTGCATTATCATTAACCATTATCATTGAACACCTTAAAAAAAAAAAACTCAGAAAGATGTCTCAACTTCTTTCCCTTCATTTACGGGAGGCAGCATAGATTGCATAGCAATGTATTTAAAATTGTTTGCGTGACCCGTGAAATAATCCAGGTTAAGCTTTAAATATTTAAATAGAATTTAATAAAATATATTTTTTAATAATATAATAAATCTATTAGTAATAAAAAACATTTTAAAAATAATTATAATAGTAGCAGTAAAAAATTATGTATAAATATAATAAATTATTATTTCAAGTTAATATAATTCATATGTTATAAATACAAATTATATATATATATATATATATATATATATATATATATATTGTATCTTTTAAAACAATTTAAAAAATTGTAATTTTTTATTTTTTTTATCAAAAACATGTTAAATCCAAAATTCTAACTGTTTTATCGATTATTTTAATTTTATACTAATTTAATTAAAATCTATCATTTTAAAAACAATAAGTTGATTTTTCTGTTGAACGCTATTCGATTCTGAGAACAGTATAGACAAATCTTAGTCAATACTACACAACTACGAAAATATCACCATTATTTAGGAAATTTAGAGCCCTTAATGTATTTATTTAAGCTTTAAAAAGTATCTATCAAAATCAATATTTTTAGCAACTTAAGAAAATAAGTATAACTACCTTTTAAAATAATAATACTTTTTATAACTGCAGTTAAACATCCACTGCATACTAAAAGTTAAAATTCATTTGTCTTTGTTTTCTTTATATAAAATAAAAATTTGTATTATTTGAGACTTTTATTATATAAACTCTAAAATTGTAAATATCTTTTACAATAGAAGTTTGTTTTTTATAGTTTTTTTCTTTTTAAATGAAAGTTCCCATATTGTGCATCAGTATGAGACATCACATTCCAACAAGTTTTTTTTTTTTTAATAATTATAACTAAACAAATATTACTTGTTTAGAAACCTTAAACATAAATCACTTGTTTAAAAGTTAATGACCCGTCGGTTTAGGCAATGATACAAAATGATTTTAAAGCATAATAATTATTTTTCATAATTAATAAAATAAAAAAGAAAAATCCTTAAAGGTCTAAATTAGACCATATTGAATTGTGAGAATTTTCTAAAAGTCTGAACCAACGAACTCTTATTAACAAGTTTGCATTGAATAAATTATTACTTTTTCTTAAATATTTTGATAGCTTTAAGGAAACGTTTTTTTAAAACCATACAAAAATATGAGCGTAAGAAAATGATTTTATGATCATGTACACATTATATTTGAGTTAAGATAACACAATATTTCAATTCGATCATGGTTTACGTATTTAAGTTAAAATCTTCAAGTATCTTCCAAATGCAACCAACAAAAAACAGGTCAGCATCAATCTGCATCGCCAACATTAGTGCATTTCAGTAATCTCTCCATCATTCATCCTTCAACTGTCTCGTCCACCTCAAAAACCTTCCTCAGTTTCTCTTCATCTGATTCAAAAACCTTTCTTGCTTGTTTCAGCTCTTCATTCATAGACAATAGTTCTGTACAGCGGTTAAGTTTCGGCAAATCCTGCAGTATACAATTATGATGGTAGTGTGATTCTGTCGTTTATAAGGTAGATCATATTAACTTACGACAGCATAATGCCATGTTAGCTCATAATCTACTCTACAAAGGCTGCAACTTTTCAGGGTTTTTTTTTTGTTTGTTTGAACTGTGTTTTAGGCTTGTATTTGATAATTTCAAATTTCTTAACTGCTATCTACGGAAAAAGGTCGTCCACATGGTGAGGTACCATTCATGCAGGAAGGGTTTCTGCCAGTGCATGATTAAGCCTTTGAGGAACCACAAAATTAACCTCTACTAATGTCAGTAGGGTGCTACGCCTACAATCTATGGTACTTAAGACACTGTTAACCAAACCTAAATATGACCTCATGCAGATCTAATGTTAATGATTAATGGTTCCATTGCTACAAAACCAAAGAGGTGGAAGTCTAAAAAGTACAGGTATATATAGAACTTAATTACATCATGCGAACTCTCATGTATACGTCAATCCCTAGTTTCACAACGTTGGAGTTCGTAGTACATAGACGTAAAAATGTAAGATTCCTTAACTTGTCAAGCTAATAAAATGCTAATAGTGCTAATATTCATTGTTAGCATGCTGATAAAGGCAGATTGGAAAAGTAACTTCTAGCTAGTATGAGTTTCAGATTACAATTGTGTTGTGAAATTCTTATTCTGAATAAATTGCGAAATAAAAGCTTAACAAAGATGGTACAATTAAGTAGGGTGTTATCAATATATAGAAGTGTGTTATAGAGGATTTCTTTCGTTAGTTAGTGCAGGATTCCGGTTTGATTCATTGATCCAGTTTTGCGTTTCTCTTGTAATAGATAAGATTTAAACAATTAATAAAAGGATTCACAGAGACTAGGATAAAAAATTGCTAAAATAAATATTTACCTCAAGAATAAATAATGATGTCAGGGATGTTATATTTGATTTCATTTAATGCACTTTTTGAAAAGAGCTATAGAGAATTCAAGGTTCCCAGTGACTTTTAATCTTCACAATAATTATTTGCAACATTTTTTAACAAAAAGTGTACCTTGCGAATCAAATAGAGGAAATCCTCAACTGATAGCTTCCCCCTTTGAGATCCAATATCTTGGGCTTTATGTACCTTGGCAGACAAATTAGGCATAAGGACAACCAACCTAACTACTACAGCTCATTCAGACGGAGTTGAACAATTTAAAAGTTAGAAGTATTACCAGTTCTGTGACATATTCCACAACAATGTCCTCCATCAGAGCCACACTTTCAGGAAGAGGCTAAATGCAGCGGCAAAAAGCAAAAAAAAAAGTTTATTAGGCATAATTCTTTAAAATTACAAGAATAAAATATTGTTAACAAGACAATACAATGCATATTATGTATACATAGGCACATGCACGGGGAGGGTAAAGTGTTAACGCTTAACACTCACATTAGGATCATCTCCAAAGCCATACATCATGTGCTGCACTATAGCAACCAAAAAAGAATAGTATTAGGAATGAGAGAAAGCTAGACTAAAATGTCAAAAAGTCAGAATAAAAATTCTTACATTCTTTTTGGAAAACTCCTCTTTTGCGCTTAGATGAAGTTTCTGATGGTTGTGACGAAGCTGCTCTTGGTTTTGATGAGGTTCCAGCAGCAGAACTGCTCATTGTTATTGGCCAATGCTTCTACTGTTATCTTCAGTGGGTAACTGGAATTAAAGAATAGGAAAACTGAAGATATTTTTGGATCTTCAATGCAGTTTGTAGGTTCTGTTCTGCACACAGGATGCCAAAGAATAAAAAACCAGAATAATGATATGTTTGAGGAATGAATGAGATATATTAGTCTTAGCAACTGTACACCCCTCAAATGAACTTCCAACTTGTCCCAAGCGGGTTTGGGGCCAAAAACCCACATCCAACCTGCCCCATACAGTAGTTGGCATCTTCTACCCAATAACCACAGTTGTCAAAATAAATCCCATCAAAATTAATAAAGTCAGCTAGATGATTCCCATCATGAACAAGATTAGATAAAGAATGACAAGTGTAAAATGTAGCATGGGTTTCAGTCATTGTTGTTATGCAAAACAATAAGCAGAATAAAAGATATTGGAAAATTGCAACAATACATAATGCAATTTTCCAACTTCCTTCCGAAGCATTAACAACGTTGCGCCCTGTGATAATTTCTTAATAAAGTTAAAGGAGATGTACAAACTACAGCGCTCCTGTGAGCATCTTTTAGTGATTACACACATTAAACAATGCTCCAAAATCGAAATAGTCACTTTAAAATTGCAGCTAGCAAATAGAGAATAAATGAACTGGATTGCAAAAAGCTACCAGGCACAATTTAAGTATCATATTAAGTAGCTTATCCTACTGAATGTGGATTCCTTACAATCTATACTAGTGGAAATCTTCACTTGTTTCAAGAAAAGCAATTCTGATATAAGTTATTGTAGCAGCAATTTACAAAGGGTGCATCCGTTTCGGAGAGCTACATAGATAACATGACACACAATTAGAACCGTAAGTCTTTCAATTTTCAAATGACACGACACCATTAAGGTAATAGAGAAAAATTAAATAAAGCGGTAACAAGGTATTCGAACCAAAAAAAAATTGTGGGTAGAGTTCACAGTGTTAAGTATTGAAATTTCTACACTGTTAGCAACGTAATCCTGGAGATTATAACGTAATCCATATCTGAATGTAAATGTTGAAAACAAGAATTCAAAACAACATCAATCCGCGAATAATGAACACAATCGCAGGGATTCTGAAGATAAAACCTAGGGATTTTGGAAAGGGGAAAACTATAAACGTCAATCTCTCGCAAACGAAAAGGTACGTGAGGATTTTGAAAGGGGAACAGCTTAGGAATCATTAGAATGAGAGAGAACTGAAACGAAAATGAAGTAAAGAAAAACATGGTGGGAATGAAAAATTACCTCAGCGAGCGAAAATGAAGACGAGCGAATAGCTAGTCACGTAAGAGCCAATGGTGAAGCAATTTGATCAGTCTCTGAGTGGGTAACCGCGCGAGAGAAGACGAATTTATGGATTGTGAAGGAAGTTTGGAAGCTTTAGGGTGCAAAGGAGGAGGGAAGATAGCAGTAAGTCAAAACAATCACAAAACATTTTATGCTGGCCGAGTGGATGTTATACTTATATAGAGCCTTTTAGTTGGCTTGGGCAAATGAATCAATTGTACCTAATCCAACTTACTTAGCAGTGGATTGGTATTTTTATTGGGTTAAATCTAATCTAATTTAATTTTCTATAAAATAACATATTATTAAATAATATTAATAATTATATATAAAAGAGAATATATATTCATATCAATAATTTATATATTAAAAATGTTATCAACATTATATATAAAATCATTTTTTTAACTGATTAATTTTAAAAATAAAAAATAAAATAAATTAACAATATAAAAGTGTGGATGCACTACCACTTTGTGTTTCTACTGGCTATAAATATAAAATTTATTTTATTTGTGTAATTATTATATTAGTTAATTATATATTTTAAAATATTAAAATACTAAATAATGTAGTTTATTTTAAAAAATTATTTTAGAAAATTAAAAAAATACAAATTTTAATAAAAATATTTTAAAAAATGTATGATCCAATTAATTTAACTTAATTTAATCCAATTAAGAATATGAATAAAATTAAAAAAATCAATTTAATTAAAGTTTTTTTATTATATTGAACAATAAATCAAACCCAATGTACGTATATCCCTATTAACTTACCTTTTATGCTTAATTATTTTAGTATCTATTCAAATTTAATAATAGATATTAAATTAATATTAGTAATTATATATATATATATATATATATATATATATAGTGTTAATTAAGTTTAGAGATTTTTAATGAAGTTGTTTATTGAGATTCTTAAATAAAATATCATATATTTGATGAACAAATGTGATACGAAAAAATAAATTTTTTAACATTTATTAAAAAAGTTCTAAATAAATAAAATTTTGAGCTATTTTTAAAAATATATAACATTATAAATTTCTGTTTTAAATATTATTTTAGAAATATAATGTATTCAAAGTTAACGATAGATATTAAATTCATATTAATAACTATCACTATATTATGACTATTAATATATATATATATATATATATATATATATATATATATATTTATTTATTTATTTTAATTTATTTATATATATCATTAATTTTAGTATCTATTCAAATTTAACAATAGATATTAAATTAATATTAAGAACTAATAATATATTATTATGTATTATATTTATAATTTAATTTTAATTTGCTTATATATATATATATATATATATATATATATATATTTTAATGTAGAGTGGAGATAAAATAATAAAGTAGAAGGAGAAAACAATATCGTATTTATTTTAAAATAGTTAAAGTGGAGACAATTTATTTATTTATTATGTTTTATGTGTAATTACACTAAGATAAGTATCTTTGTATATCTATGCTTAACAGATTATTATTTATAATATTTATTTTATTATTTTTAAGATTATACTGTAAAACATTGATATCAATAGACCATCTATCAATATTTTTAATATTGTGTATTTTAACTATAATATTATTTAATTATTTTTAGCATTATACTGTTCACAACATTTAATATTATATTAATTAATATGATGAAAATACGATATTACTTCAAATATATGATATTTTATTTCATTTTCATTTTCATTTTTATCAAGTTTTAAAATGTAGTATAAAAATAATAATTGTACACACAAAATATATATATATATATATATATATATATATATATATATATATATTAAATGTAAACTAAAATAATTAGCTTACTATAAAAGCTTACAAGAGTTTAAAATTAATTAAACTAAATTTAGAAATATTTTGAACATATATTTTTATAAATAAAATCATAAAGTTATGAAAATATATTATAAGATATGTTTACTTGTATAGTTTATCTAGGTTTAATATTTTTTTATTCATATTATTTATTTATTTAATTTAATGTGGACTAACAAATGCAACAATATGATTATTTTTTACTTAATTAACAGTAAAAATGTAACACGTAATTTTTTTAAAATATATTAGGTTTTATTACTGGATAATTTAAATATATTTATAAATAAAACAAACATTTTTAAAAATTTATTATTGTTCAATTATTATTAAAAAAACAAATATTTATTAAAATATTATTGTTGTTTGATTTATAAAAATAAAAAGGAAATAATAATAATAATAATAATAATATTTTTTTCTTTTAAAATAATAATAATTATTATTAATATATATATATATATATATATATAATATGATTAAAAAAATTAAGATTTAACTTATCTCATGAATAGATAATCTTTATCTTAAAATAGTCATTAGCCATTTAACAGGTGAAGTAAATGAAAAAGGGTAAGGTAAGGATAAATAAAAATTGAGAGAAAGGAGAAGGAAGAGAAAGAGAGGGTGAGAAAGAAAAAGAGAGAGGGAAAGAGAGGGAGAGAAAAAAAATTATTTATATATATATATATATATATATATATATATAAATAATTTGAGATAAAAGTTTGTGGAAATATTTTTATCATCTTATCTATTTTATTTTAATTATAGTCATGGAGTGAGGTGTATCTAACTTTATTCTATTTTTTCTCGTTATTTATTTATTTATAGTTACTTAATGGTCCCACTTCATGTTATTTATTTATCTTCACCTACTTTATGTTATTTATTTATCTCAGTCACTTACTGGTTTTGCATTATATTTATTTACTTTATCTTCAGTCCTACATTGATCCTATTTTAATTATCTAAAGTTATGCAGTGATCATATTTTATGTTTATTTACTTATCTTAAGTTACTAATCCTATTTTATATTTATTTATCTCTATTTATGCCCTGATCTTGTTTTACATTTTTTTGTCTTTAGTTATGCATTTGGTCATATTTTATTTATTTTCAGCTACACACTGATCTTATTTGTTTTATCTCCAATTATGCATTAGTTCTTGCTTATTAATTTATATTTATATTATTTAATTATTTTTAAATAATAATATCTATTTATGAAGATTTTATGATATTGTAGATAAAGGTTGGACTATGGGGATTCAAATGAGTATATCACCGAGAGAGTGATTAATATTGAGTTCATTTATCATTATTAGTCAACACAAATTTAATTCAAATCTTCATAATACTGAATAAATGGAAGATGTTGAGGAAGTTGAAAAGTATATTTTATATATTATTATGAGATTATATTATTTTAAATGATAATTGTTCTCACTTCCCTATTGTTATTTCTTATACATGTTACAACTAAAATATCAACATAAATAGATAGAGACATCAAGATGGGAGACACGTATCATTGTTAAATCAACCACTATTAGAAGAAAATTTTTGTCAATTTTAATAATTGTTTCTCGATATAGAAACAATGTAAACTTGTAAAGTTCACATCCTTATACATATAAATGTATAAAAATTTACCTCATGTCTTGTTTTTGAAAAATAATCATCTTAAATCAACGAGAAAAAAAAAAGATGTCTTATTAGATGGTATCAAAACAATGTTTCATGTGTGACATGTGAAATGAGTGTATCATGAAATCTTATGAATCATAACATG